GAGTTATACCGCGACACGCCACATCTCCAAGGAAGGTTCTGGTCATTGCAGTGGTGTGCCTGTGGCTGAACTCGTTGGGATGCCAAGCCCCCAGCCCAGGGAAAGCAAGACACGTAGCAATTGCCTGTGACTGTGGTAGATGGTGGGGGGCTTGTTCCTTTGGTGAGGTGGGTGGGAGCAAGTCAGTCTTTGCAGATGTGGGAGAAAAAGGAGATTTACTTGGCCTCTTGCTTACAGCATGGGGTTTTTTCCTTCCCTCCCCCTCCCTTCTAAAGCTGGCATAGTATATGCACATGTTAATGTTTGTATCAAGCTGAATAGTTAATGTGCCTGCCCTGGAAAGACAAGGAGGAATCTGCATGCTGAAAATGGAAATTTTACTTGTGATTCTTGCACAGTGCCTTGTCTGCATGGTTTTGTTGATTTTTTGATTATTGCTTGTGGTTTAATGAAAAGAAGTGAAAGAATCCTGTGTGAGTCCCTTTTAATAGTTCCAGATTTGGGAAATATTCTGAACTCAGCAAGCTTGATCGTAATCTTCCAAAGAATTTCAGGCTCTTGTCCTGCTCTCCAGGGAACCAGCAGCTCATATTCTGTTCCACTCTGTGCCTTTCTTTCTGAGTTTTCCAGTTGCAGTATGTAAAAATGTTAGAAGGAAAAGAAGCTGCCATCTTAAGCCTCTCCAAGTTTTAATATTTTGTCTTTAATAGCATTAGATGGCTGTTCAGCAGTACATAGTATTAGTCAAGCTTCTGACTGTGAAATCCAGATAATTAATTGAGGTTTTAATCTCTGAGCTATTAGTGAAAAGATCCACACTAACTGAAGTTTTACAATCATATTTGTATTTTCTTCTCCAGGAATTTGACCCCTTTTTAAAAAAAAAAAAAACCTTCTTCCTCTTTGAAGCCTTTCAAAATGAAATCTTCAAGGTGGTTTAAATAAACGGCATGTTTTACCCCCAGTTTGCAGCATACACGCTTGGAAGTGGCTCAAAACATTTGAAAAAGTGTAACATCAACTCAGATATTCTGTCTCTGTTAAAGATCAGGGAACCCTGTAGACATGGTATATTCTCAGCCTTCAGGCTATCACATCCTAGTTCTTCTTTTAGTTTGGCTGATCTGTGGAAAATACAAAAGTGCATCTAGCAGATAGTGAAGAGTTTCAGCCGGTGTATCTCCTTACCACCTTGTCTCCTCACAGCAAGTCTGTGTATTGGAGCAGCTGAAACATTGGCAATGACTTGATTGTGCTATTAGTTTTCTTCATCGAATGAAAATACGGGGTAGTAAAGGGCCCTAGAAAAAGGCCTCTTAATCATGCAAGAAGGAGCAATTTTGGGCTGGAAACCAAAGCCACACTTCACAGTAGAACCAAGGGATTAAATCCGAACACGTTCATTGTTGCAACAGTCAAACCAATGAGGTATATCCCCCCCTCTTAGGCATATCAGATGAATGCATGTGTCTTCCCCCAGAAGATACTCCGTAGTTGGGCCCAACCTGGGGAAAAACGGACAGGCGATTGTCTGTATAAGACATTAGAAGAGATGTTCTAATAGTACCTTTTAACTCCTAGAACGGAGGGATGAGTAATCTGTCTGCGCAAACGTTTCCAGTGCTACTCCCACCAGGGAAGTTCCTCTGCCGTTAGGATATGTCTCCATCATAAAAGGCTACACTCGATAAGAACCAGATGCTGCCTGTCTTCCCAGATTCCTGCTTCTACCACCGTGGTAGAACGCCCCTTCTTTCACGTCACTCCTTCCTCTCAGGAGTGGATTTACTGAGGCTTAGGGTGAGGATGGATCCCCTTCCTCTCTCCAGTACATTCGCTTGAGCTAACAGCAGCCTGTGCTCTTTCCCGTGTCACGTGGCTCTGTTTTTACCAACACACACCACTCCACTTCGCCACTGGATTTTTTCTGGCTTCTTGTTCTCGATTGCGCTTAAAAAGGTCTTTCTTGAAAAGTATTTTCTTTGGCTTCAGCTTTTGGGGTCTCGCTAGGATCACGTGGACTCCTGTAAAAAGAAAGGAGTTAACTTACCGGCTGGCCTTTGTCTTTCTTCACTGAACTGGATTTGGCACTTGCTAAAAGTTCTTGTGTCCTGGGAGGGTTCAGTCCTATAAAAACAAGGGAGTTAACTTCCCGGCTGGCCTTTGTCTTTCTTCACCAAACTGGATTTGGCACTTGCTAGAAGTTCTTGTGTCCTGGGAGGGTTCACAGGAGGGATATCATCTAGAGAAATGCTGGAAGAGAATGAGCTGTGCATTGTCTATTGCTCAGCACTGCCAAGGGAGACAAACAACAGTGGAAAACCCGCACATTTAGATGCTTCAATTAGAATTAGCATGCTGATCCAGCACGACTGTTTTGTTGTGCTCCATCAACACGCAGATCACATCTTGCCTTCCCCCAAAGCATCAGCGGAGCTCAAAGAAAATTAATGAAACCACCTCGTATGAGATGAAAGTTCTGATTAGCTTTTGTTTCAGGTGCGAAACCTGCTCCTGGGATCTGCTTTGAGAGAGTCAATTCTGCAGGTGATCCTTACGGCAACTGTGGGAAAGACTCCAAGAGCTCCTTTGCGAAATGTGAACCCAGGTAGGGTCTCTCCTACAGCACAGGAACCCGTGCACGGCACTGGGAGGGAGCTTGCAACATTTAAAACTAACAACTAATTTTTGGGTTTGTTTATTTCCTTCAGAGATGCTAAATGTGGAAAAATTCAGTGTCAAGGGGGAGCGAATCGACCTGTAATTGGTACCAATGCTGTTTCCATAGAAACTAATATCCCGCTTCAAGAAGGTGGCAAGATTCTGTGTCGTGGTACCCACGTGTACTTGGGTGATGATATGCCCGATCCCGGTCTTGTGCTGTCAGGAACCAAGTGTGAAGATGGAAAAGTAAGGTTTGAAATACTCCCAGACAAGGAGAACATCTCTTCCTTCATGCTGCAAAGGATTTTGTGCTAAACTCCCTGGATTTTGCTTTGGGAATTTTGGGGTTTTTCCACAGAATGATTGTTTCTCATGCTCACACTGAGTCAGAGTTTTCCTCCCTTCTTCTTTTGGCCGCTGTTCTGGATTACAGATTTGCAGATGCAATGCAAGTTGCTTAAGTTTATAGCTGGGTTTTTGAGGACAGTCCCAAGTCTCTGCCCATGTAGGCAAGAGGTTTTCCACAAAATAAGTACAGCAAAACACATTAGAGGGTCGTTAATGAATTTCTGAGGAGTTCAGTATGTTCACTTTCCCAGTGCCTGTGGCATTGAAAAGTGTCACTAACTTCACGTTAGCTTTCAGAATGTACTCTGTCTGCTGACTATGGCTCTCTCCCCCCTCCTTTTTTTTGTTCTTGCAAGGAAAGCTCGCTCTCTATATTAATTTCTATAGAAAAATATAAACCCACTGATGTTTAGCCACCAAAACTGATTTTTGCAATTGTATTTTGCAAACTGTGAATTATCCAGTGTGAATGTGGTCCAGTTTTCATACGGCCGTCTCATTCTTAGATTTTCTTTTGTGAGAAAAGGACCAGAGAAAGGTGGGGGAGAGCCATGAGTTTACAGAGGGGGAGCAACGGAAAGGACTCCAAGAACTACTGAAATGAAGGTTTCCATACCCTCAGTGGATTACTTGCAAAGAGGAAAAAAAACGTGTTTTGATAATTTGTAGTAAATTACAATAAGCTTCTGAATTTCAGAATGTTTTGAATTATGCTGGATCATCACACTGCATTGGGAACAGGGTTGGAATACGTCACTAGTGAAACTACAGTTCTGTTTCAGGAAAACAACCCTTACAACATTTCTAAGTCAATCTGTCACAAAATGTCATCTCAGAGAAAATGCAGCGCTGGGAAAGCACCCCATTATGTTTTACTAATGAGTATTTAATCTTTCTAATCTATCTAATCATACACATACACACTATAGAATGCACAGGCTAATACTTACAAAATTGTATGTTTTACTTGGAGGACATTAGTGCGTTTGTATTATGGATTAAGAATCTGAATTCAAATATTCTTGAGTTTTCTAAGCTGAAGATACGCAATTTGAAATGCAGCCATTCTAACGTGATCAAAATTCTGTGTGCTACTGCGCTGTGAATATTTGAATGGTGAATACGGCTGTAATCAGACCATATTCTCTACATGCGTGCATGTTGTTGCCAATTCACTCTAATTTCCTTTCCATTTTTCCTTTTCCCCAGGGGATAAATGCCCTGATTAAGCATCCCTGTCGTCTCCTTCAACACTATTCCCTGCTTAATGCTAATTATTGTGACTGACTTTTAGTACTACTGAACTGAACTGCAGTGAAACATGAGGGAAATGGTGCAGTGATATTTTTTTTTTTTGTTTGGACAGCACAGTAACGGTTATTCCAGTCCAAATTTCTTCAGTTTGAATAGGATAACTTCTCTTTACTGACATCACCATCAGTCATGTGACTGTGGCATTATTAGATGGTTCTAATCTTGCGTTACCTCAGTTTTCAGCTATAATGTAGCTATTTTAAGTTGATCCATAGTGACTGGCAAAGGAAAATTTGAATGTGATTACTTTGCATATGCTACTTGTTTACTTCCATTTCCTGTGAGACTATTACCACACTTGAAATATGGTTTGTTTGTATTTCACACCCAAAAATTTGCTTCGTTTGGAGAAACTCTTAGCAAAGTCTCAGTTGTGCTGAAGAGCAGGGATGAGCCCGTAGACACCCCCGACCTCAGCTAAACATTCAGCCTGCCCTGGGTCCGAGTTCTGCTCTGGCACGACGGAGCGTTGTGCTGTGGCTGTAAACAGGACTGTGCTAATTTACACCACGAGGGAACCTGAACCTTCCCCTGAGGAATCATCTGCTGCTGAGAAGACATGAACGCAGCCAGATCAGGTCCATGAAAGAATCCTGCTCAGTGCATCCCTGGTCTTGAAAAAATGCAAATTGCTGGGTTTTAAATTGGCTTAAAAAAGCCCCAAACCCCAGCGGCTCACCACTAGTTCCAGTTCAGTGAAAGTGTGAGTGTTTATTTACACATGCTCAGCATATCAACCAAATATGAGCTGTGTCTGAAATTCAGGATTGGCCAGGGTGCCGATCAAGAGCAGGCTTGATCCCCGACTTCCACAGGCTGGGAGCTAAAAGACTTAGAAAGGCATAAGAAGATGACACCCAATTCCAACGTCCTTATCTTTTTGTCCATGTAACGTTGTCAGCGCAACACGTGTGTTGGGAAATCTTTACCTGCTACAAGACCCACTGATGGATGAGCTGGAGGGGGATGTGATGCCTCGTGAGCAGCAGCAGCTCCATCCCTAGTAAAACTCCTCTTCTCTTACTCTGCAGATTTGCCTTAATCGCCGGTGCCAGAATACAAGCGTTTTTGGTGTCGATAAATGTGCAACCAAGTGCCATGGACGTGGGGTAAGCGTTACAGGAACACCTTCCTTGCAGTCAGCCCATGAACACTGGACAAGAAATCATTTTACGTAACAGCGTTGGGATCTGTGATTGTCAGTCAAAGCCACTGCAACACTTTTTTCTTATGCATTCCCATTTTCCGTGTCCCTTACGTGAACCGCAAGCAATGGAATTATTTTTCTTTAACAAAGAACTGTTTATCAGGTAGTAATTATCTTGTTCTTAATTAACAGCCTGTGATAAAAATGAATTTTGTTATCTTCAAAGCAGTTTTAAGTCTAACCTTCTTTCATGAAGGGTTCCCACTGACATTTTTAAAAATACAGTTTCGGTCTGGGTACAGAGAAGTTAAAATAGGCATTTGAATTGAAATTCAAATGGAATAGCATTTCCAGAAGTCTTAGAATAAAGTCAAACCGTATCGATGAGTTTCGTGGTATGAAAGTGGTGCAGGATAACAAAGGTGGTGAAATCAGTTAATAATACCAAAGTGTTTTGAAATCTAGTTTATATTATGAAAATATTAATTATGTCAAGCCATATTAACCTCGGTGTGCTGATGGTCTGTGTGTTTCGGTGAAAAGCACAGCAAGCACGTTGGGAGAGGCGTAGGAAATTCTGTCCTCTCCTGAAGAGGAATTTTAATTTGATTCAACCTATTTTGTCATCTCACTGTTGACAAACCGCGCAGTGTTGTCGGTGCTGCGTGTTCCCGTTGTGCTGGTGTGAGCATCAGCTTAGACGGGCATCTTCATGCCTGTAGGATGGAGAACCTCGGGTGACCTCGTGGCATTGTCGAGGGGAACTCCTGTAGCGCTTTAATTTAAAAAATAATGCTTAACACATGATATTTTTTTAAGTATCTTGCTGCCTTTGGAAAGTAAATTACATTTTTTTGCCTTTTACATGACCAGAGCCAGGCTAAGCCGTGTGAATGATATGTCAGTACTCTGCAACCCAGCCAGTGTCTCTCTTTCTGAAATCCTGCCAGCTGACCTCGCCAGAAAAACATGCATTTGCAAACGCCTCTGAACGACCTAGTGTCTTACTCAGAATTGCATTTATTAATCTAGCGTGTAGTTTCTCCGAGGTGGGGGTAGATCAGTGATGAACAGTGTTAGCGCAGAAATAAGGACCACACCGACAACTAGCCCTACGCCCAAAAGTTTTCCTTAAAAGTCATTTTGAGCATCTACACGTGACTGTGCCAACGTTGTCCTCTGCCAGCTTTTTGGCCCGTTCGGCTCGTGTGTTCTGTGGGTACAGCACGGAGCTTTAGCCTCTCTATAGTCCCATGGCCACTACTCGGGTGGCAGCAGAAGGACATCAGGAGCAGCCCTTCTTCTGATGGCTGCTGGGGACTGGGACCTCCTGAGGAAAAAGGTGTGAGTCTCCTGGCTCCTCCTGCTCTGTGCAGTGGGAACAGGCTGATGCTAACGATGGTCTCGGGGCCTCTCTTGCTCTGCAGGGAGCAGTTGGTAACCCAGGTCTTGCGAGTGGTTCCTTAACTCAGATGAAAACCGCCGGAACACGGAGGGCTGTACCTTTATAGACAGTAGGGTTTCCTCATCCCCGATTCCAGTGTCACATGTTTCTCCAGCAACTGGTTCCTCTTGGAGCTGGGGGATCTGAGCAGTGGGAAAATCAGTATGCAGGCTGGTGCGAGCCCTTGATGGAGGGGAGCGTTGAAGTGGGCTGACACCGCGTTAGTGTTAACAGCGCAGAGTCTTGTTCCTGGGAAGGCAGACGGAACAGAAGTTAGGAGGCAGATAATGTTGCTGCTGGAGGCAAAGACAGCGTAAGAAGTTGTGATTATCCTTATATTATTGCAGCTGTCGGCTGGTGCGGCTCAAACGATTACCTGCCAACTAAATAATGTGTTTTTAGGACGCCCGTTACTCCGTGGTGTCGCGTTCGGAGTTGCTCTCTGCCCTCTCAGCTGTGCCAACTGGCAGATACCGGTACCTCTCCTTTCCGCTGTGTGTTTTATTTCTTTCAGATGCGTCACCATCCGATGAGGTGGCCAGTGCTCTTCCCAGATGTACAGGGTAATCCTTTTCACGTTGGGTCGTTTGTCTTGTTTTGCAGGTCTGCAACAATAAAAAGAACTGTCACTGCGAGGCCGACTGGGCCCCCCCTTACTGTGACAAGCCAGGCTTCGGTGGCAGCGTGGACAGCGGGCCGATTAGGCAAGCGGGTTAGTAGTAACTCACGCTTTACCGGGTGTTCCCGTGACAGGGTGGAAATATGAAGTGTCGCCTTGTAAGCAGCGAGCTTGCAAGATTGGGAAATAGGTCAGTAAATCAAATGGCTTAACCCAAACACATTGGCACCAACTTGAAAATCTAGTGAAGCAAAACCGAGGCGGGCTGAGTGCATCCATTTTCTTGCATAACTGAAGGCACAGTGGTCCTGGCGGACTCTTTTCCTTTCTTTGCCACTCGGGGTTTTTGTTCTTCCCCAAGGTAGCAGTCAAGTTTGGTAGCTCACTGCAATACGCAGGCAATGGCACTGATTTAGGCCGAGGATGAGGAGCTAACTCCCACACTTGAGCTAATCCTGTTGCCATGGTAGATGAACGCGGCATTACTCTTGGATTCACCTTGAGATATGCCAGGCTTCAGTGTTCTCTGAGAGTCAGGATTGAGATCCCTTATGGTACACACAACCTGCCCCTGTAGTTATGTGCCTAACGAAGAGTGGGCACTGCAGTGATTACAAGTGTAAAATTATTGCATAATCAAAAATCAGAAATATAACTGATATTGTTCTTCCCAGAAGGATCTTTTCTGTGGTGGAAAATAGCAGATTTCTGCCCATGTCAGATGAAAACTGCATTTCATAGATGGCTTCCAAACATTTACCAGGATGTATACCCTCCGATGTGATCGTCGCAGGAGACGTGCATTTTCTGTAACTTGTATTTCAATTTCCCTCCGTTCAGTCTGCAGAGCATTGGCTGCAGTATCTTGCTTCACCTTTGGCCAACCTCAGAAGGAATTATTTCTACACATTGTGAACTTTTAAAGGATTTTATAATCATCACACGCCAATTTTTCTCCAGAGTACAATAACTTTAGTGACTTCCACAGAGATGGTTGATTTGTGTCTAAGTGACAGGACAAGCAGTCTACTTGCGTATACGTATATAAGCTAAAACCTGCTGGAAAATGATCTGCGTGTCTTCATAGGAATAACGCTATTCAGAACCAAAATGGGTTGTATTCTCCACATACCAGATCCTGCAGAGAACTGTAATACGGGATTTATGACAGCATGGTCATTTCCATGACAAAGCTTCACATTATGTTTTCACTATTGAAAGATTATTTTTTTAAATCCTTACCAGTCAGTAAGACAGCACAGAGACCATGCTCGGGCACTGAACAGTGTGATTACCTGCGCGTTAGATGTTTTCTGTACAGCATTACAGTCCTTTTTCAGCTTACCTGAGAGCCAGCTGTCTAGGGAGCTGCAAAATGCATTTAACAACGTGCTGCGTAGACAGCGCTAACTGGAGAAGGCAGATCTCTTCAATACTTCTTGCAGTTTGTGTTTTGGAAGCCAACACGTCAATTTAACAGAAAGTTATTTTAACCATAGGTTAATATAGTGTGGTAGCTTCTCCATTTTTCTCTAAAGACAGTGCTACATTCAGCTGGGAATAAACACATGTGGAAATGGCTAGAGGACCTAATTTTCTAGAGCTGACACATGGATTTAAATATGAACACTTGATGGGGTGGTTTGGATTGTGATCTGAGTAGTTTGCACATCTCTAAATCAAATTACAGAAGGATTAGCTCAGTAAAATACTTCCATCTTAGTCAAACAAGGCCCATGGTCTCATTAGTACTGAGTAACAGATTTCACCCAGCTGACTCAGAATAAACCTGTGTTCGACACTGTACTTTTCTTATAAAGAAGGCTTAAATATTTAATTGTCAGCTAGATAAGTTAATTAACTTACATTGCATGATTTTTGCTTATTAAACTTTCAGAGATGGGGAAGGATTTATTATTCTGCAGGGCTGTAAGGGAAAGGCGTAGCGCTTTGTGCCCCATCAGGCCCCACGTGCAGCCTGTTCAGTCAGCGCTGCTGACTGTTCAGCAGTGTCCAGGTGAGTGTGGGCCAGTCGACAGGGCCAGCTGGCTGGGCATCCATCAGGGTGAGACTGAGACAGCGATGACAGGTGACCAGAGCCGAGATTGAAGGTGTTTCTCCTACTGTGGGAGCGTGCATTTTTTAGGTCAGCAGTCCCGAAGAATCCCAACATCCTCTCCCCCAGGCAGTGATCATATCACAGAGCGTTAACGATCAGCGCTGCTGCTTACCTCGGCCTAAAAATAAGGATTTCTTCCCGCTGCAAGTCGCCTGGTCAGGGCTCATCTCACTGTTGTGCCTCACTTAGGTCCCAGCAAGGTACTTGGAGCAGCTTAAAACACTCTGAAATCTGGAACGAGTGCAGAGAGCTGCAGCCCCTGGCTAAGCAGAGCGTCCCTCCGAGAGCACACACCAGCCGTGCTGAAGGCTTTCCTTCGGCTCCTCGCCTGCCTGCGGATTCGACCTGCCAGCCCTCTGGGCTGGACCGCAGTACATTCAGACTGCTCGCCCTGTGATAAAGCACAATGAAAGCCTAAACATCTGGTTATAAAGCAGCTAGAGTTGCTGCTTACATCTGAGGGACAGAACAGTTAAAAGCTTGCACTTTACCATGATCTAGGCATTTCTGTCCCTTTTCTCTCCCTCTCAGCCTCTCTCTCCCTCCCACCCTGGCAGCAGGCAGCCCAGGAAGAATGTGCCCGTCGGCACTGCTGTAGCCATCCCCCTGTGGGTGTCTGGAGGAGGCCGACAGCCCATGTACCTTTTGGAGGTGACAACCTAAGCAGGACCTAAATATAGGTGCAGAGAGAGTATGTGGAGACTGTCATGTTTGCACCCAGATATTGGAATGGAATGGAATAGAATAGAATAGAATAGAATAGAATAGAAGAGAATAGTTGGAAGGGACACACGACGTTATATTTTAACCAATTTTCCCCCAGTCTTAAAGAAATAACTTTAAACCAGGCCAAACTTCAAGCTTCAGGGTAGAAAAAATAGGAGTTTGTTAGTTTTTAATTCATGGTTTATCCTCTTTCAACTGGGCCAGGCAGCAGCATCCTGCTCCATCCACGTAACACATTTCAGTAAAGAAAGCTCCTGGTAGAAGTTCTCTCAATGTGTTTTGTTGCAGATAATAAGAGTTTAACCATAGGAGTGTTGATAACCACTCTGTGCCTCATCTTTGCTGGATCAGTCATGTACCTGAAAAGGAAGACTTTCATGAGGTGGTTGTTTACAAGTAAGAAGACAACAATAGAGAAACTAAGGTACGATCATTTTCCCTCCTTATACTCCAGCAGACACTAGAAGGGAGTAGCTGTAAATGTAGCAGCTCTGGTCTTGGCATTGCTCACAGAAGGGCGCGAGTACGACACGAGAGCCAGCCTTAACAAGAACATTCAACAGCTGTTAACAGCAGTGTGTTTCTTGGCTTAGTTTAACCTTGCTGATTGTCAGTAAATAATGGAGGTTTGAGTTTGACTATGTAGCTCTTTTGTGATAAAAAAAAGTGAGGAAGTGAAGGAAGTGTTGCCTCTGTTTTCAGGTGCTGGAAATAGTTTCATTACGCTGCGTGGCCTTTTATCTGAAGGCAGTGGAGTGAGCTGCAACTTTCCTATCTGAGGTCATTACCGTTTAAATGCTAGATTCATTAGAATAGTCTCCTGGGTGTTACCAGGCTGCATTTCCACAGATTGCAGAAGCTAATTTAACAGACTTCTGGTTTCCAAAAAATCAATATTTATTTTTATTCTTGCAGGAGTGCTAGACAATTTTTACTTTCCTTGTTTGCCATCAGGAGTCAGGAAGCCCTTGCGAAACCTCATTCCGAGAAGAGGCGACCGTTTCACGAGAAGTTACGCAGCAGAATGCCGTGTTAAATAAATACTTGTTTGTGTTGCAGGTCTGTGACTCCAGCGAGACCTTCCAGCTCACCTGAGCCTAACCACGTCCATACCACGTCTCTCAGTAAAAACCTCATCACAAAGCCACAAAATACGAACATACAGAAAGTGAGTTTAAAGGAAGCAAAAATCATATTCATTATTGTGGATCTCATTTAACACAATTACTACATGATGTTCATATTACATAGAAGTAACAATATGTAAAATGGGAGAAATACCTTTCAAAATACATTTATGGCCTCCAAATTCTAGCTGGGTGGAGATGTACGCTGCATCTCGATGGTGAGGGGTTAAGTAGGACTCTGCACGCTGTTAATTGCTTCTCTGGTTGCTGAGGTGTCGAACGTCGATGAAAGCAGAGCAGAAGAGAACGTAGATTTTAAAGCAGCGATGCTTATGTCAACCCCTGAAGTTTGTAACTTCTGGTTGGGGTCGCTTTTACAGAGAGATGGTCCACGGAGGCCGCTGCCCTATCAGATCATCGACATCAGTAACCCCGTGAAGACCCACGATTTGCCACCATTAAAAACACCGCAGCGAGTCCTGCCACCCCTGCCCCAGCTGCCGTGTCACCACGCTGGGCCTGAACGACCCTTGCCAGCAACCCCTTCGCCGAGGTTCGCCCGGGTAAGCGCTGCGTTTCTTTCAGCTTTTCTTCTGTTCAGTGTGCGAGTGTCTGAATGGGGTGGAGAGGAACGAAGTGCTTTCTCATTTGTCACACTGGCCTTTTCCCATGCTATCTCCTTTGTACAAGTTTAGGAATGCGGTGCAGATATATGGGTTTATGCCAACTGCAGCTGTGATCCGAAGATTTCGGATCCTGAACTCTCTCTTCCTCGCTCCAAAGGCACAACAGCATGAACAAGCCCCATGTTACAGGCACCTCTCTGCTGGATATAGTGCAGGATTAAAATGAAAGGAATGTCGTTATCACCAGGCTGTCTTAGGCGAGTGTCGTGATTTGATTTGATTTTGATTTACTGTCGTGACAGTACTGCGTGCACAACAGCCGTGTCTTGGGTGGCTGCGCCTGCCTGACCCCAGCCAGGATGCCCCAGCTCAGAGCACCTCCTTCCTGCAGCGACCCTGTGAGCTCTGAGACATTCCCCCTCATTTATAGCTTCTCATGGCCATGAGAAACAGTTGCTGAAGCCGGTGCCTTGGAAAGCGTTTGGAAAAATAACACAGGAACAAAAGGGATGAGACGGTGCCGAGCTCCACGGCAGCGTGCTCATGTATGGTGACAGCAGAGAAAGTGTGTCTGCTGTCCAAGTCTGAACGGTGCACCGCTCAGGGCAGACCAACATGTGGCCAGTTTGTTAATTGCCTTCAAAGTATTTAACCTTTTTCTCCTTCCCTTACCCATCTTGCTAGTCATTTATTTTCCTTTTCACGGGAATGGGAAATACTGGTTCTTTATCTTACAGGAAATCTGTAGTAGTATTGGTTTGTGCTGCTTCTGTCTTTAGCTCCCGTGGTTTCCTTGTTTGTTTTCCTGCATTCCTTAAACCATTCTACATATTTCACAGTGGTCAGAGTTAAGATTTTTAAGTAAGTCCAAGAGCTTTTCTGCTTCTTAATCAAATGCTTCCATGAAAAACAAACATCTGCCCCATCCTGTCATCACACATCAGCGCAGCCCGGTGCGCTGCTACGGTTCGTGTTCCCCGTGCCCTCCCCTTCCAGTCCCACGTAACGTGCACGGTGGAACACCAGACCTCTAGCACTGTCGTTACCGAAGACGGATGGATCTGAAACTGCCAGAAAGGTGTTAGTTTGGCAGCTCACATCAGCTGGGATGGTAACTCCGTCAAGCAAGATATCCCTGTGTTCAGTTGCTGTGTGAATCACAAGTAGGACAAAGAGGGGATCAACTCAAGGCAGCCCAGTGAATAAGCAAGAGTGGCTTCTCCCAAAATGATGTCCATAACCTCCATTCAAGATTGACAGAATAGCTAAGTTTATATCCTAGGGACACAGCAAACACCGTATGGGGAGAAAATCTTCCCTTCCAAAATTAACAATTTTACTCCCTCAAACTTTGGTAGAAGTAAATTAACTCGAGAATGGTTTTGGTCTAGTTTATATAGACACTGTCTAATGCATTGCTACGGCCCTCTCTGGGAAGGGCATCCATCCGGTCAGTGAGAGGAAGCACTTTCAATGCTCCATTCCGGATCTCATCCAGATGCTCTGTACTGCAGTGTGGCACCGAGGGGGAGTGTCTGAAACCAGTCGCTGCTGCTATGGCCACAGCTGCCTCCTCCTGCTTCTCCCTTCCCAGAGGGACATTTAAGCACCAGCTACTTTAGGTTTAGATTGGATGTAAGGAAGAAGTTCTTCACCGAAAGGGTTATCACACACTGGAACAGGCTGCCCAGGGAGGTGGTGGAGTCACCATCCCTGGATGTGTTTAAGAGACGGGTGGATGAGGTGCTGAGAGATATGGTTTAGTGGTGGACAGATACGGTTGGACTGGATGATCTCTAAGGTCTTTTCCAACCCAGTGATTCTATGATTCTATGATTCTATACTTCCCTCCCACCTCTGGGCTTACAGCAGTGGGCAGCTGCTGTATGGTAACAACCATTATGACCTTCACCGTTATTAGAGAAGCACCTTAAATTTTATTTCCCAGCAGAGAGATTCAGTTATTTACAAAGTACCTGTTTCTGCTGTGATCCAACTTGTTCCAAACTGTTTTACCTCAGAAGACACACGTTGGGATTTCACTGTGTTAGACTTTCAGTGCACAAAGTGAACTCTGGTTAGGAAATCCTGGTGGTAAGATTTCTTCCCTGAATAATGTTAAGGTTCTAGGTCTGTATCATCAGAAATGACCACGTTCTGAAAAACTTCCTTTGCTAGTGTTTGTTTAAGCTGTGACCTCACCAGCACAGCCCGATGAGGTAAAGCTGCAGAGAGTATTTACGAACACGCCGTTTATTTCCTCATTTTCCAGGCCTGATTATTTCCAGGACATTTGCAATTATTTTTCCCCCAGAGAAGAGCTCACAGACACACTGCTTACAGCAGATATGTTTATCCTGGTTTATAGCGGAAGTCCTTCTGGATGACAGTCAAGACTCATTTTTACGGTGAAAATGAGATTTGGCTATAACAATGAGTTAAAATAAGAAATTTTTTTTCACGTTACTATTTCTGATTCAGTCAAGAACTAGAACCTGTTACGCCAAGAGTGAAGAAGGAGAGGGACACTGTACACAGCTTGAAGCTGTACCTGGTGCTACACCTGAAATGACTCTGCGTGAGGTGTACGTAAGCCCCCGTGTTCTGTTCCTTACCAAGACGCCCACTGATCGTCAACCGGCGTTTCCTTCTGGGAAGAGCAGACGTTTGCCATGAAAAGTAGGAAAGCCAAGGGAAGCTCAGCACGAATAATGAAAATTTGTACTTTATCCATGAGCAATTCACGCCTCGGATTGCTCGTCGTGATTACACCTTTCAGGGGAAGCTACTCTCTGTTTGTCAGCCCCTCTGGTTTCCTTTTGGTCACCCCTACTAACGGTAGTTACGGCAAACGAATCACCGCGTCACCGAGCGAGCGCGGCTGTGCTGTTCAAACCCTAGAAGTGAGTTGTTGGGTAGCCTGAGAGTTTTTGTGTGCCCCGAGCAAGCCACTTAATCCCTCCCAGTTCTGCATAATGAAGACCATGAGCAGACACGTCACCATGGCTGCAGTGTTCCAAGGACCACACGGAGAGACGCTTGGCTCACGCCTGACAGCAGATGACTTCTGTTCTTTATTAATGAATCACTTAATTCCGCTGAATGAAAGCACAGCAGCATCTTTAAAAAAAATTCCACAGATGCTACCAATTCCAACTGGAGTTTGGTTTTCTGGTCATCTGAGTTTGAATTCTCAAAGTATTTCTGGTATTTCCACCTTTCTGTGTAACTGCTTTTACGTTACGTATTCAATCTACGTTGTTTCATTTACCACCAATTAATCATTAACTCCAGGAAGGCTGCACCTGGTATTTCCAGAGTGAAGAATCAAAAGAAACAAAATCCTTTAAATACAGTATGAAACATTGGGTTAAAAACAGAAGTGCCTGTTTATCAACAACACGTTATGGCTTACTTCTCTGTGTCTGGTCACCACGGCTCTGCACTTACCCTCAGTGTATCGCAGTTGTTGCTCTGTGGAGTACGTTCCGGCAGTTCCAAAGGCTAATGCCGCCTTATGTTTCCCAACAGGAAAACCACAAACCAAACCCTCCTCGCAAGCCCCTGCCGGCCGACCCTCTGACCAAGGCGCGCTGCAGCAGCACGTGCCCAGCAGCGCCCGGGCACGCCAGAGCTCTGCCTCACGTCACTCCCGCCAGGTTAGTTCCCGTCCCAACGGCTCGAGTTTCAGTGCTTCATTCAGGGACGGCTCCACCATGGCGCTGAGCAGATCCACTCTGCTCCCAGGGTGCTCCGCTCTAACCGTTGCTGGGAGCCACGCGACAGGCAGGTTCTGTTGAGATACCGGTTTCAGTGCTTCATTCGGGGATGGCTCCACCACGGCGCTGAGCAGATCCGCTCTGCTCCCAGGGTGCTCCGCTGTAACCGTTGCTGGGAGCCACACGACAGGCAGGTTCTGTTGAGATACAAGGGAGAAATGTAGACATCAGGAAGGAATTCTTCGCGGGGAGGGTGGGGAGGCACGGGGACAGGTTGCCCAGAGATGTTGTGGATGCCCCATCCCTGGGAGTGTCCAAGGCCAGGCTGGATGAGGCCTGGAGCAACCTGGTCTAGTGGAAGGTGTCCCTGCCCATGGCAGGGGGGTTGGAACTGGATGATCTTTAAGGTCCCTTCCAACCCAAACCATTCTGGGATTCCCTGATCCTATTTGCTACAGTCTCAGCCCAATTCTCACTGGGAATTTATGCTACGTATGATGGTTTGACTGTAAGCATCTGACTGTATATTCACAAAAACTGCCCAATGAACACAATTCCTTTGAAAAGAAAGGAGTTAATAGGGACAGATTTCAAGAGAAACAAAGCTCTTGCCGAAAAAAAATTCCTACTGAGCCCGCCTACAGAATTATCCGAGAACTGAACAGCCGTAAGATCAACCACCAATAAAAGCAATTTTCGGTTCACACATTTCACAATGGAACACCGATTTATGTCATCGTACCCAAAAGATTCAGAAAGCACACAAATTGTACACTGCAAAGAAAAAATTAATCTGGAAGTGAAATAACAATTCCCCAATGTTAATGGGAATAGACGACGATATTTTCTTACCTAATATTCTTCAGTTTCCTACAAATAAAGAGTGAGCTCCAAGGAAGATGAGAGTAGTATTTTAAGTTACAGGAATTCTAATAGTGAGGCACTTAGTTGCTCAGAAAAATTACAAATAAAATCCAGTTAGTTTCCTAATACTTCCAGCAAAAAGCCTGCAAGAGTGAACTTTGATGAAGGTGCTGGCTGTCCGTTCCCGTGAGATACTCTGGAAGTAACCCTACGTCAGGCTGACTACTGCAGCTTCCTGAAACCAACTACTCTCCTGCCAGATTCAGTAGCGTTTTTGATCAGGTGCAAAATGGATGAGCACAAAAGAAATAAAGGGAGTAATACCCCGCCGTGGCAGGGGGGTTGGAACTGGATGATCTTGAAGGTCCCTTCCAACCCAAACCGGTCTGTGATTCTATGAAGCACAAGACCTGGAGCACTGAGCGAGCTCACCCAGCAGCACTGAGGGTGTGAGCTGAAAAAAGAGGGGCTGCTGGTACCATTTTTGTTTCTCGCCGAGCCCCGTGTATGCCCCATCCCCTCCCGGAACCAGAGTCCCGAGCTACGTGTCCGAGGTTAACCTGCACGCCCCCAGGGAGGTTTTACCGTTCGTGCCTCGAGCACGACGCTGCCAGCGAGAAACAACAAAGTTTTAACCACAATTTCCTCTTTTCTTTCTTTCCAACAGACCTGCTCCGAAGCATCCGCCACAGGTATCCCGGTCCCGCAACGCCGCTGATGCGAACTGAGGAGAAAACCTGACACCTTTCTTTTACAGAGTGAAGACAGAAGTTTGCACTATCTTTAAACTCCAGCTGGAGTTCACTTTTATGACAATACTTAGAATTTTTTAATGTTTAAAACAGCGTTATTTTTAAGAATTCTGAGCTACTGCCTTTGGTGCTGTGCTGTGCTATGGTGCTCTCTATACTTGCTCAGGTACTTGTAAATTATTAATTTATGTTGAATGTTTATTACAGTGCAGTGCACTGTAGTAGATATTTTTACCATAGCTGAGTTTTCCTAAAAAGGAAGCCTTTTTTTGTAATATTTCACTGAACTTGAATAATTCTGCTCTATCGGTCCTACGTAGAGTTTTTTAGTTTTGATCTGCTCTTTCGGGAGTGCTGATACTCATGGGTAAATCAGATGGAGACGACTCCGTTGCGGTGGTTCAGAACAGCCTGGTGACGAAACTACGTCAGGGTGGAAGGAGCTCACGCTGCCCGTTCTGGAGCACGGCGAAACGCCCGGCGCCTGCCCGCAGGTGCGTGCCCTCCCGGCGATCCTCAGAGGCAGCAGCTGTACCGCGGTCTCCGTCTTCACGTTACTGTTTGAAATGGTGGAGAAACCCGTGCCGAAAGCGGCCGTGGACACGTTCTCCCGCTGAAGAAGTACTGTATATCGCAGAACTGTGTAGTTTTTAACCTCATTTTCCTCAGACACAACAGGGTTAGCACATACCGATGGCGGTACCGGGCCTCCCGGTGCCATGGCCTTTCCGGCGATCTGGGGTAACGACACGCAGCCTGTACCGCGTCTGCCGTCCCGTCTCCCTCGGCTGCCCCGCTGCCTGGTCAGACCGACGGCATGTCACACGCCGGGGGAGGGGGAAGCCAAGCCTTGCAGAGAACGACATCCTACGAGTCAACTATCATACTTACTTCTTTCGCCTCATCGCTCTGCTTATCAACTGTATTTTGCATATTTACTACTGTTTCGAATTTAACTTCTCAAATACTGTTCTGGGTTTCTTAATTTCCAAATCAAAACGCGTATTTTAATAAACAGACTTTGGTTACCCTAAGAGATGAAGAAGGATTCTCCTCCTTGCCGCGCGGTAGCGTCGCCTCGCACCCGCCTCCTCAGAAGCGCTGCTGAACACAGCGGGCTCAGCGGTGCGGGACGAGACGCCGTGTTCACACAGCAGGTGACGGAGAGGGAGAAGGAACTGTGACCTTACACACGGTCGTCTCCTCACTGTTCCTAGTTTTTCCTTTAACCAAAACCAAAAAGCATTGCTAGAAATTTGGATCCCGTTTCAGTGACTGCATTTCATTCTACCAGTTATTCCCCGCCGTGGCAGCAGAGCCCTCATGTTCACGGGTAGACTAAATAATCCAAAAAAACCCATAGTTGCAACAGCAAAATGAACCACGAGCAAACGCTCCACAACAGCATTTAAATTCTTCAAGCAGCAACAGGGCTTCCTGTGTGGGGAATTACTGCAGCAGGAGGATGCGGACTGATCCTGGGCTCGGCGATGCACTTGCAACCAAAATGATGCTTTTTATCTATTTCAGATAGTTGGTATTTAAACCACTGACCTTTTCCTATCGAAAAACAGCTTTATATTCAAAACGGGGGCTTCACAATTTCAAAACGTTGGGAATTTGAAGTAGAGACACGATCTCAATTCACTGGTTTGGATAGGCCCGTGTCTAGACCCCCGCGGCATCGTACCAGGACGCGGCTGGTAACCGCCGACACCCCCACGCTGCCTGTAGCGGAGGGCGGAGCTGAAATGAGGCGACGGCAGAAGCTGGAGCACCCGTCTGCATCCGCAGCTCCAACACCGAGTTCCACAGCACCAGCTGAGGTGGGACTCGGCACACGTATAAACCTAAAGCTCCCCGGCAGATTTTAGGTTTGCAATAAATGCGACCCAGCACCGCCATCTGGCAAATAGAGAAGCGGGTGTTACCCCTACAGGCACCCAATCCCTTCAGGCACCCAATCCCTACAGGCACCCAACCCCTACAGGCACCCAATCCGCTGCAATTGCCAGCAGCCGCCTCACCGGCGCTGAGCCCAGAAGAACCCGCAGAGTGCGGACCCGAGCACCCCGAATCCACAACGTTTCTCAGGTGATGCTGAGGACCTGTTGGACGATGCTGAGAACCTGTTAGACGTAGAGAAACACACACACACACACCTCTTTTCACGTATGGAGGACGACAGCAGAATGGTAATACGGACACCTCTATGTGTCCCCGCTCCCAGCACCGTGAAGTTTTTAGGTCAAAATTCCAGCATGGTCTCACTCCCTGGCCTGTGCCCCCCAGGGAGCCCCGTACCTGGCTGTTCGTGTACTCTGAGCTGACCAACAGCCCCGGCACCAACACGCTGCCCGGTGTCACGCCTGCTGCTGCTGGAATAAGAAATTCCAGTCACTTACCAAGGATGAGGTGTGAGAGGACATCCTTGCTTCCGCAACTCAGCAGCCAGAGGCAACAGGGCATCATTAACGTGACACCTTTTACTGTCCTAAAAATTCATCGAGAGAGAGAGCGAATAAATACAGTTAAACAAGCTGTGAACTGAGCAGGAATGTGTCAAATTCATTAAACTACTAACACTTTTCTAAAACGAGCAGCCGATGCGTAAGTAGCCCGTGACAGGGAGCGTAGCCTCCCAGTGCGGAGCGGGCGATGACACGCGCAGCTGACGGAGTCACTGCCTTACGTCAGACACGGAGGAACCTAGACACCTCTGGCTGTTTGGAAAAGAATCGCAATTCCCCGTCGGAAACAAGGGCGAGCAACCCTGAATATCCTGTAAAACGGCCAGTCGGTGCCCAACACCGACAGAAGGTGGCTGGTGGCACACTGCAAGCTGGGTTTTCGGAGAAAAACTGAGTAGGTGCAATAGATACAACATTCCATAATCTGGAATCCTTCCAACTAGCAGATACCTGCATTTCTATTTATCAAATAAATACATTTATCCATGTTCAGATGCAAAATACGACAGGCAGAAAAGGGTATGGAGCTTTTAGAGGGGGCAAAAAAAACCCCAAGTACCAAGTACTGCATATGTTTTGGCACAGTTGTTTTCCCCTGGATGTGAGTAGTAGCTGGCTGTGTGATGTTTTCAGACCAAATGAGCATCTTCATGATCAGGGACGCAAACGTCATGTAAAAATCCACCGTGAAAACCAGATGAATGGGTTTAGATTCTTACGGACAGTGTAAGCAAACAAATTTAGGGGGCCAACAAGGAAGCTGGGGGGGCTTTTCCCAATGGCATGTAGTGACAGGACAAGGGGTAACGGGTTTAAACTGAAAACGAGAGATTGAGATGGGACATCAGGAAGAAGTTCTTCCCGGAGTAGGTGGGGAGGCACTGGGACAGGTTGCCCAGAGAAGCTGTGGATGCCCCATCCCTGGGAGTGTCCAAGGCCAGGCTGGATGAGGCTTGGAGCAACCTGGTCTAGTGGAAGGTGTCCC